AGATCTTTCTCTGTCTCCCCTCTCTGATGGAGGCCAGGATGAGGCTGCGTGATCTGGAGCATGTCATGATGCATGAGCCTCAGCTTCCTTACCAAGAACAACAAGTAACAGCTGCCCACAGGGATGTAACGGGATGAGGCACATGCAGTGCCCAGTACAAGGCCAGGCACGGGCCAAGCAAGTGATAAGCTTCAGTTATGGCTGAAGACCACCACCCAGCACACCGCGGTTTTATTCTACTGGGTGTCAGGTACCACACCTGTAAGCTTAGAGAAAGGAACCAGGGAGGCGAGCATTTGATGTTCAGGTGCTGACCGGAAGCTGCGGCAGCTGAAATGTGGATCAGACATCTGGATATGAGAGGCGGATGCTGCACAGGGCAGCTTAACCCACTGCACCACAGACCCACCCAACCGATGCTCTGTTTGCAAACTCATAAAAAGAGAAAAAAAAGTGGGGAAGGCCAAAACAGAGTGGTGAGATGGAAGAGGTATGGGTCCAAAGATACAGAATTTCAGCTACACATGAGGGAAAGTGCAAGTGACGCACAGCCACGTGACAGTGGGCAAGCATGGATTTCAAGTGTCCTCATGCCAGCCCGTGTGACCTTACACTCACACACTTCTGTGAGGTAATGCACAAGTTAATGAACTGGATTTGGGCACTCTCCGATGCTTGAAATATCCTGTCCTACACCACCAACAGGCGCAACTTTTGTCAACTCAAAACTAAAAGCAAAAGGAACAGCAGTGCATTCATTGAGCGCCGACTCTATGCACATTTCTTTGGCACCGTGTTGAGCTTCAGCTCCGGGGCCACCTGAGCCACGAGGAGGGACTCCAAAGTCCAAGCGCGTGCCACCGCAGCCGTCACGGGTCACCAGCTGCAGCTCCCACAAGCAACGGGCTCCGGCGATCTTCAGCAGCAGCTGCAGGCCACTGAGTGGACGCATGGCACATGGCAATCGCAAACTGGGACATGGCTCAGGGCCTGGGGGAGCAGGCGGCATCGGGGACACCAAAGGAAAGCACAGACCCACCAGGACAGACAGCCTGCCACTGGCTAGCGGGGCAGCTATGTGACGCCATCACACCCCCTTGGGGCACACCTGTTTTGGAACAGAAGTCAAAGGAAGACTCTTTTTCTCTCCCAAGAAGCCAATCCTGGGGTTAAGCCCAACTCAAGCCTTCACGCTCCACCACCCCAGCGCGCAATGAACCAAGAACAGGCAGAGCTGCTGGCAGCGAGGCCACAGGGCAGAGTGGGGACTGCAGCAAAGGGCAGCTCCCACATGGGAGCCCGCATGTTCCAGGATCTGAACTCAGCCGCTGGCCAGAGTCCTCTGTGGGTCAGGAGGTGCTGACCAGGCAGCCCAGGGCCCTGAGGGCTGGAGCTGGTGAGGTCATCCAGGAAGCCCCACGGGGCTGAGCCGGGAACCAGCTGAAACAATGATCGGCCATCTCCTGTCTTAGTGAAAGTGAGTTCAGTCTGGGAGACTGGCTGGGACCTCCCTGGGGATGGGGCCTGTGGCAACCCAGGGTTGACTGCTACGGAGGTGTGCTCCATCTCTGGCCCCACTAGTAACCCTCACCCTAAGTGCCACCTAGGTGAGCTTCCTGGCACCTCCTCTAGCTTTTGCTCAGTCCTCACCCTGCAGCAGCTCTGGCTTCATGAGAACCCCACCTTTCCCACCCTGGGGCCACTGAGGCCCAGAACAGGGGATGGCCTAGGGCCAGATCTGCAGCTTGGACGGGGGCAGGGAGGGGGCCTGACATCATCAGCCTGTTTTCACAGGCAAGGGTGAACAGACTGGACTTGGGGACACTGCCAGGATGCAGGTGGGGACATGGAGCAGGTGCAGCCTGCAGCCATCGTCCCCATGCAGAAACTTAAGAAGTCTGCTCCCACCTGTCCCAGCACTTGCTGCTTGCAAATGGCAGAACATGACCCAAAGCCCCGAGAACCCGGTTCAGGCACAGAGAAGAAAGTGAGGCAGAGAGGCAGGCAGAACTGGGCCGGGGACAGAGGCGCTAGGATTCACAGTAGCCCGGAGAGGCAGGATCTCAGGCCAGCCACAGAGCCAGGCTAAGGCAGTGACTGGCGCATAGCCCGGTCTGGGTGTAGCTCTAATGATGCTGGGTGCCCTGGACGAAGTGACTCCCCTTAGCCCCTCAGAGGTCCCTGGCAACGCTGAGCCAGGATACCTTTGGCAAGCCCTCAAGTTAACGTTTGCCAAGAGCCTGCCCTGCTATGTGCCAGAGACAGAGTTGATACTCCTGAAGTGGAGAGCGGTATCAAAGATTGGCAGAAGACAACAGATGTAACTAGCAGGGGATCAGATGCCCACCTCATGGTAGATGCCCAGGAGAACCCACATGGGCACACCCTGCAATGAGCCCAGCCAGGCACCAACCCACTCACTCAGTACAGAGCTGAGGCTGCTGCCCAAGGTGATTCGCAATCAAACGGCTAGCCCTAGAGCCCTTGACCTCACACACCGGAGTGGGGTGTGTAGGAGCCTCTAGGATCTGGGAGAGCAGCACTGCCAAGAGGCCACACGGGACACAGGGAGCCTTGTAGGGGCCCCTCCCCCAGCACCAGGGAGCGGCCACCGTCTTCCTCAGGTGCTGGGTGCCTGGGCAGGGGCGGGAGCTGCCTTTCTATGTAAAAGGGACCACCGACCACAGTGGCTATAGCCAGCCCTTTGGCTGAGCAGTGTCCTAAGCCCTGCCCTCCTGAAGCCATGCTTTGAAAAGAACAGGGGGCACTTCCTCTGGCCCTGGGCAGTGCTCCCTTGGGGTGGGGAGAGGGGATGGCTGGTCTGCAGCAACAGTACCATCTCTCATCGGACCCCCACTGACTGCCCACCTTCTATACACCAGGTCCAGAGTCTATGCGCCCCACCCCCACCCCGCGAGAGACACAGATGGCCTTCCTCTCCTCGGGGACCCATGGTCCAGAACCAGGAAGAGATGGCTGGCTTTGCAGAAGTAAAGCAGAAACGGTCCAACAGGTTCAGAGGAGTTCACAGGCACCACTGAGGGGCGGTGGCAGGACGCCCCCCCAGCCCAGCTGAGCCGGACCTGACACCTGTCTACAAGAAGCTCAGTCTCAAGGATTATCTCCCCAGCACACTCCAAACGGCTCCACAGGCCAGCGTCTGGTGCAAACAGACTGCTTGGGACACAGGCGTCTCATGTCACTGCCACGTCCCACGCCCAGACTCTGCTTCCTGTTTGTATGCACCCTGACGGGCAGCAGACAACAGCTCAAGCACTTGGGTCCCTGGCACCCATGAGAGAGGTCAGGGGTGAATTCTGGGCTCTGGCTTCTACCTGGCCAGGTACTTGGGGAGTGAACCAGCAAACGACAGATCTTTCTCCTCTCCTCTCACTGATGGGGAGAGGCACCATGCCACCTCCACGGCCGGACACAGGTCTCAGAGCGGGCACACCCGTGGATTCTGCACACATGGGGATCCTGGGAGTCCTGGCTCCCAACCTGTAGGTCACTTGTCTTCGCTGGACACTGCTGGTGCTCTTAGCACTGAGCTTTCGGAGGCTTGCTTTCCTGCTGTGCTGTGGGCGATCAGCCGCTTGGTCGCTAGGCTATGGGGTGCAGGATGGAAGGGGAGGATTGTGGGGACAGTGGTGACTTCCTCTCCCTCCCCCTCTGCCTGGGCCTGGGTGAGTCAGCAGCAACAGGCCAGGCCCTGACTCACCCCATCACCCTCCCGGCAACCCCCTTCTAGTCTACGCCGGAAATGGGGGTGGAGCAGGTTCAACCGAGATCCCCAGGGAGGCACTGCCAGGCCCAGAATTACTTTGGAGACCCACAAAAAAAGGCACCCCCCAAAAGCTTTGGTGGCTATTTCCTCAAACTTCCCCTTCTGAGCTGTAAGAAGGCTAAAGTGCTGAGCAAAGCCAACAGGTGGGGGCCCCTCTGCGTGCTGTAGAACTGGAATGAGATGGATTCCTGGGCGACAAAACTGGCCCAACACCCATTCCATCACCAGGGCTGGGCAGTAAGTCCCGGCTCCATGAAAACCAACCAAGGCATGGCTTTGAGCGCCATGGTCACTCCTACCCATCAGCCTCAGTGTTGCCATCTGTCCAATGGGCGCAAGGCTCCATCCACAGTGGGAGGCACTGCCTGCTCGCAGATGTTGGTCAACAGCTGTGGCCCCAACACTTTCCTCATTCAGTCGGGCTTCTCCACGCTCCCCCTGCCTTACGCCAACTCAGAAACAGAGGGGGACCACGGCACAGCCTGGGACGTAGCAGGTCAGGCACAGGCGCCCCCCCAGGGGTTTGTGCTATAGACCCTTAAGCCTGGGTTCAGGCTACCTCTGCCCAGGATCCCCCCAGCTACACTCTGCTCACATTTTTTCCTTTCTCAAGCCATCATCCTGCAGCCTGGTGCTGGTGTTGGCTGCTACCCGACACAAGGCCCAGCACCATCACTGCTTGCCAACAAGGAAGACACGTTCAGGGCTCCCAGGGACTTAAAGCGTAGGGACCAACAGCCTCTACACTGTGGATTCCTGTGAGCTCCTCACCTCTGGGAGAGTGAATAAGCAGAGAGCAGACACCACTAGTATGGAGAGGGTTGCACCAGGACATGCTGGCCCGGGATGGTTGACCTGAGACTCTGTAAAGCAGTGCCTCACTCCTGGGGACCACACGCCATGTCTTTAGAAAGGCAACTTCCACTAATCATTTCCTGAGCAACTTCCAAAGTGACCTTGCTGTCTTTCCTGGGCTCCCCTAAATCCTTGCCAAGCACAGCCGCCACACGGTCAGTCCTGGTACATCCATGCACAAGCCCACTTTAGAGATGAGAAAACTGAGGTCCCGGCCCAGATCAGTGGTGAGACTCAGGTGCAGACTCCAGCCTCTTTAGGTCCAGATGAGGAGGTCGGGGACAGGGAGGTTCCCGACCGCCCCAGCCCGCAGGACTCCAGCGGGCACCAGACAGAAGTGAAAGCTCCGGTTTCAAACCTGGGTAGACGGGGCTCATATTTAACTCTGTCAGGTTGGCAGGTGGTGGCGTGGTGGTGGCGGCAGCTTCCAGCACTAAAGATGGTGTTTACCAGCAGCTACTGCTCGGCTGCAAGAAAAATTCAGTGTTATGATCTGCTCCAGGCTGGTGCTGGTGCCGGCCACCTGCACACACAGACCACCCATGGGCTCTGCTGCCCTTGCTCCTTCGCGCAGCTCTGCCAAGGCCTCCAGGGATGCCCGTTCAGGCACTGGGGACCCATGCTGCCTTCTCACACCTGCCACTCACACCCAGAGCACCACTCGGCACCCCAACTCCCTGCCTCGTGGAGTCCTTGAGGGAGGGCTACCGTGGTTCACAGCTGCCTGGAGGAGTCTTGGTGGTCCTCCATCGGAATCTGAGGCTGCCACATTTCCAGTCTCCACCTCCCACCCCATGTCTCGGGGTTGCCTGCTGGGTTCTAGCACAAAACCACACACTCCAGGGCAAGGTCTAAAGCTTGGCTTCTTCCCTAGCCATGAAACTGTCCCCTGCTGACCCCCAAAGACTCATTAGAGGCTTGTTGCAGGGTACCCCAGAGCCTCATCTGGGCCCCACCTCCCTATGTCTGAAGTGAGGACTCCTGAGTCCACCCAGCTCCATGGCTTTCAAATGCACCCCAAAAAGGCTTTGGAGATGGGTGAGATAACAAAGAGAGGGGCTGGTAAACTGGGGTACCACTGGTCAAGGGTGGAACAAATGACCAATGGAAGAGGTCATGATGGCTGACAATGCACGTGGGTATGCCCCCGAGTCACCTCGGCAAGCTCTCCCCAACCTGGGGAGCCAGTGGCTAACCCAATAGCCACCTGCCTCACAGAGGGGGCTGAAGGTCACCCATTCTCTGCTGCCCAGAGGACTGGGCCTTCTGGGCCCCCCATGTGCAAATAAACAAATGGAGGTTCAGAGCGGAGACATGACGGAGTCCAAGGTCACCAGGTGTGCAAGTGGCAGAGTTTGGGTTTCCTCCTAGAACCAGGTGTGCAAGTGCCAGAGCTAGGTTTTAGACCCAGGCTGAGGCCTATACACCCTAGCTGGCTTGCCAAAGCCATGCAGAGTTTGAGAAATCCTGAGAAGGGTCAGTAGTTCACATGGCTAGAAGCAGAGTGGGGTCTGATCCTGGGGCGGGGCGACAGACCAAGGAAGCCTGTACTTGGCCCTGCCTGCACCCAGGGCAAGGGGCAGAATTCAGCCAGCCTTGTTCTCTAAGGACAGGAATGAGCTCCCAGGCACATGTGTGGACCCTGGGGCAGAGGAGTCAATTGCTCCATGCAGTGCTGACAGGGGCAGGGCTGCCCCAGCTCCCTGCACCAGACTGAGAGCAGGAAGCCTGCAGGAGGCCTGGCGACTACGACTTGACCAAGGCATGGCCTATCCTCTCTGGGCTGATGGGGAGACCCCGACAGCCAGCAGGTGCAGTGTCCTAGCTGTCCCTCTGCACACATGGACACACACAGCCCTCTCCTCCCCTCTTCTCTCAGCCACCCACCCCAAGTACATCTCTAAGTATTGCAATTTGCCCCAACACAGTGTGGGGACACAACTGTCCCGGCTCACACAGTTGCTGACTGAGCTCCACATACAGGCTGTTCAGAACAGTACTTGGCACGCAGTGGGGTGTGGGCAAGTTCAACCATCAAGGCGGTGACTAAACTGACCCATGTTTACCCTGACACCAAGGTCTGCTCACAGTAGCTCCCGGGTACCACACTGGCTCACAGACTCAAGCCCAGGGCTCCAGTGAAAGTCACCTAGTTCTGACATTTGGGCCACTATAACAGCCCTATCTCCTATTGGCTGTGTCTCGCGGGGGGGTGGGGGGGTGGGGGAGTGGAGACTTGCCTGTTCTTCTGTATTGGGTGTGGCTGGGAGACCCAACACAGGTTTAGCTAAAGGTCTCTGGGCACCTGTGCCCCCTCACACACACTTTGGCACTAAATGACAGCTCCATCGAGGCACTTGGTGGCTGCCTGGCACTTGCATCCATGTGAGTTTGGCTTGCGTGCAGCTCGGGAGCCAGGGTGAGCTCACAGGGCATAGGGTGCCCACTGCGGCTGATGCACACGGACCTCCCATTACAGGGCCAGGTGCACATGATGGGTGTATGCCTGACACACACATCTGTGCATGCTGTCACCCATCCTCAGGCAGCTGCTGGCTCCCTCCCAAGTTCGCATGTGGAATCTGGAATAGTTCACGAAATTCAACACCTTCAAGGGTCCAACGTCCCCATTTTACAGGTGAGTAAACTGAGCCCCGGCCTCCCACCCCAGACATAGGGTTATGACAGCCTAGTCCAGAGCCTCAGTCTTTGATAATGTCCCAGCCTCCGTGCAGGAACTCCTGAAGGCAGCCTAAGCCCTTATTTGTGGGAGCTCTTTCCAAAGGACACAGAGCCCCAGACCCCAAGGATCTAGCCTGCAACCTACCTTGGGTCAGCTCAGGGGCTGAGAGGCACCATCAGGCAAGGCCTTGAGTGAAGTAGGTGGGAAGACAGAGGCTCCCATCGCGGGTCTGGGGCAGGAGCGTGGGGCAAGCAGCACTCAGCAAAGTGAGCCATGCCCACCCACAGCTGGAGCCTGCAGGAAGCCCCACCCACGCAGGCCCCAGCCCTAGGAAGCGACCAGGGTGCCCCACCCCCCAGGATGGTGTCCCACACCTGCCCACTGCAGGCCGACTCCCCTGGTCCTGGTTTCCCAGGGAACCGCAGCTGCTGGTTACCTCACAGGGTATGAGTCACAGAAGGGAGCCAGGGTGGTTCCGGGAAGGGACAGAGGCCCTGGAGCAGACAGGGACACAGGGGAAAACCAAGCGTGATGTGCCCACACGAGAGGTACAGAGGGTTGGAAGCGGCCCATGGGAGGGCGGAAGACGACAGAACCCTGACGATGAGGTCACAATGGTCTTCCAGCCGGCAGCTGGGACACCCGGAAGCTGCGTTTTTCAGAAAGAGGTAGCCCCATCACAGCTACCACCTCCACCCATCACCCTGAGCTTTCAAAGTTGCTGCGTTTTTTTACAAAAACTCTAGCGTTGTATTTGAAAGGTGGTATAGCAGAGATATAGAAATATAGATGTACTGGAGGAGGCTAGGGAGAATCATTCACCTGCTGGTTCACACCCCACAACAGCCCAGTCTGAGCCAGGCTGAAGCCCGGAACCAGGAACTCCACCTGGGGCTCCCCTGTGGGTGGCAAGGAGCCACGTGCTCAAGTCACCAGGCTGCTGCTTCCCAGGGTGCATTAGCAGAAGCTGGATAGAAGCAGAGTGCAGGGGACTTGAACTGGTGCTCCCAAAAGGGATGCAGGCATCTCAAGCAGCACCTCAACTCACTGGACCGCCAAGCTGGCATATCCTGCCAGCGGCTCCCAAGCCCCGGAGTCACACCCTGCTCTTCCCCATCCTTTTCTGGGAAGCCTTTTTTGACCAGCCCCTACCCTTGGCCCCCTGACCTCCTCAGAGGTCACAGGTCCCTGACTGCTCTAGAGCAGGAGCTGGCCCGGGACCTGGGCAGGGATGAGGAGGGTCCTGTTTATTGCCATAGCAACTGCTAGCTGTCCTCATCGCAGCTATCCTTCCATCACTGAACTGGCAGCCTCAGTGGGCACCCGAGTCTTGGTTGTGCTGGACCCTTGCTGAGTGTCCAGCAAGTCATTCTTCAAAGACTCAGTAAGGATCAGAACCCAGGTCTGAGCTGGCCTGGAGCCAGGCTCACACAAGCCCTGGCCACAGCTGCGGCCAATGGCCAGCACGGCTCCAAAACGCTCTGAGAGAAAATCCCTGCTTAGTTACACTCAACTTATTGCCAGTCGAGCAGTGCCACCATGGCTAGAAAATGCTGACCCCCAGGTAAGGACTGAAATTGCTTTTTTTGAAGGGCAGGGCTAGAGAGAAAGAGACACAGACTGAGCGAGCGAGCTTCCATTTTGCTGGTTCACTCCCCCACATGGCCTCATTGGCTGCAGTTGGGCAGAGTCCAAGCAAGGAACTTCATCTGGCTCTCCAACAGGAGTGCTGGGCCCAGGCACTTGGGTCATCCTATCTTCCCAGGCTCATGAGCAGAGAGCTGGATTGGAAGTGGAGCAGGGACTGAAACCGTTGCCCACAGGGGATACCGGTACTTGTGGGTACAAGTTAACTAGTTCTGCCACAATGCCAGCCCCCATTTACCCTGAGCCTGGCTAGAGCAACTAATCTGCCAGCATCTGAGCAGTAGACGCATTATCACAAATGAATCAGAGGAAGGAACAAACCGGCAGTTGTCTCCCAGCCTGTACCTTGTGTCTTTTTTAAACCGTCACTTAAAATTATTTATTCAAAAGGAAAAGTGATGGAAAGGCAGAGAGATCTTCCATCCACTAGTTCATCGTCCACCCTCCCCCCGCCAAAAGGCCTGTGACAGCTAGGGCTGGGCCAGGAAAAGCCAGGAGCCTGAATTCCAGCCAAGTCTCCCATACAGGTGGCAGCGATGTTGTGCCTGGGCTGTCTTCCACGGTGTGTTGGCAGGGAGCTGGATGGGAAGCAGAGCAGCCAGGACTGGAACAGGTGCTCCTGAGCGCCCTGCTTTGGGAAATGCAATGGCATTCCCCTCCTCCCTGGTCCCCTTACCTCACCCATCCCCTACTCTGTGACCCTCCTGTAGAGTGTCTGACCCCTTGCTGCCAGCTTTAGTTGGCTGGTCCACCCTGGGGACAGCCCTGAAGGATTTAAAGACTCCTTCTCCTCCTTGGGTGAAGGCACCCTGAGATTTTAAGCACGGATATGGATCTGCCAGTGCTCAGATCCCGCTACGGCTGCTGGCCTCTGGCTCCTCAGCAGGCACGGCTACAGCTGCTGGCCTCTGGCTCCTCAGCAGGCACCTGTTCAAGAGGCTCTGTTCCACCTTTGCCCCTGCTGTGTCACCTGGAAGATTTTCTGCAGAACCTAATGCCACCTCCTGCCAGCTGCCAGCGTGACCTCAGGAAGGTGAGGCTCCCTGGAGGCCCTCAGTTGCATCATCTGTGAAATGGGCCATCTTGAATGTCACAGGGAAGGTATCAGGAAGTATCTGGGTACACAATGGGCTTCAC